TTTTTTTTTTTTTTTTAATTTGAGCCAGGGATCTCACTTTGTCATCCAGTTTGGAAAACAGAGGCATGATTATAGCTCACTGCAACCTTGACCTCCTGGGCTCAAACAATCCTTTTGCCTCAGTCTTTCCTGCCATCCTTCCCTAGCCCACCGCAGTCAGCCAGGTGAGAGGTGGAGGATTTCCCTGGCCCTTTCTGTTTCTCTCTGCACACTCAGTCACATGGCTGTCAGTACTGTCTGGGAGAAGCCGATGACTCTACCCCGGTCTTCGTTTCTTCCTGAACGCTAGAGCATCTACACAACCCAGCTCCATCGGTGTATGAGAGCCTCAAACTCAACACAGCACTTTTTGTTTCACTCAGTAAATAGGTGTCTATTGAGTGCCTCCTGTGTGCCAGGTTCTGTCCAATACTGGAGGCATAGCAGTGAATAAGACAGACAAGGCTCCACCCTTATGGAGTTGACAACCCAGTAGAGAGGGTGGCAGGAAAAACAGTAAAAAATAGATCAGGATGAGCATAGTGGCTTATGCCTGACATCCCAGCACTTTGGGAGGCCAAGGCAGGAGGATCACTTGAGTCCAAAAGTTCAAGACCAGCCTGGGCAACATAGAGAGACCTCTTCTCTACAAAAAAAATTTTTTAAATAGCCAAGTGTGCACCCGTAGTCCCAGCTTGTCTCCATCCCCGTCCTACACCCTGAGTCTTCCCTGGGCATCTGCACCCTCTTCCACAGGCTCTCGAATCCAGTATGCCCACCGCCAGGCACATCTACTCCCCAGACCTCTCAGCGAAGGGCACTGCCATCCACGCAGACTCCCAAACCAGAAACTGCAGCCGTGCAGCCTCCTGTCCTGAGTCCCATCCAGTCTACTTTCTCGATCTCTCTCCTCTGTCCCCTCCTTCCCCTACAACCATGGCCCCAACCTAGGCTCCTCCACCTCTCACCTGGCTGACTGTGGTGGGCTAGGGAAGGATGGCAGGAAAGGTGTGGCTGTGACCCATACAGCTGTTCCTCCCCATGTCACCAGCTGTCACCTGTTTGTCTGTCTCATTTGCTTTTTTTTGAGTCAGAGTCTCACTCCGTTGCCCAGGCTAGAGTGCAGTGGCATGCTCACAGCCACCCCAGTGTCCACCTGCTGGGCTCCCTTCCGCCTCAGCCTTCCAAGTAGCTGGAACTACAGGCATGCGCTACCGCGCCCGGCTAATTTTTTATTTTATTGTACAGATAAGGTCTGGCCAAGTTGCCCGGGCAGGTCTCGAACCCATGGGCTCAGGTAATCCACTCGTCTTGGCCTCCCAAACTGCTGGGATTAGAGGCTGAGCCACCGAGCCCGGCCTCATTTGCCTTATCCATCTACCTGTCCACCTGTCGATCTACCTGCCCACCCACCATCTATCCATCTTGTCGCCCCATGTGAGAGGCAGTTGAAGCAATCATAACACCTTATCCCTACAAGGACATTCTCCTTCCCATCCACAACACTCCTGCCACACTCAGGAAACAGAACACTGACACAGCACTGTTCTCTAACATACGCAAATTGCCCAGTTGTGCCTGTCATAGCTGTCTTCTCCCATCCAGGATGCCATCGTGGCCACACGTGGCATTCCACCTCCTTGCCTCTGAACCCTCTTTTAATTGAGGACAATCCCTCAGCCCTTTTTTGTCTGTCATGAGTCCAGGCCTTTTGCAGAATGTCTTTCCGTCTGGGCTTGTCTGATGTTTCGTTGGGGTTAGGAGCAGGTGATGCATTTTTAGCAGGATGATTTGGAAGGGAAGGGAGGCCGCACTCCCCCAAACCTCATGCATTTGATGCCGATTTGCCCCACCCTGGGGGTGCTGAGTGGCTGCTTGGTTAAGGGGGTGATGCCAGATCGCCCATCCTAAGGGTGCCTGTTCCCTCTGTAATCAGTGCATCACCTGAGGGGTGATACTTTGAGACTGTGACTATCCTGTTTCCTGGCAACCTATCACCAAGGATTCAGCCTCAGTGGGTGATTCATGCCGATACCAGTTACCACCACAGCGGTTCTGACAGTCTTTAACCAGGGCTCTCATCCTGCTCCAGTTTATCCTTTGCACCTTTGCCCTAGCGAACTTCCTAAGGCACAGGTTCAATTACCTGACTCCCTTCCTCAGACACCTCTCACGGCTCCCTACTACGTAGGGAAGAAAGCCCAAACTTCTTGGCTAGGTTCTTGCAGCCCAGCATGGTCTGGCTCACCTGTACATGCCAGGACCCTCCCTAGTCACACCTCAAGCACTGTGCAGGCTGTGCCCTGAGCCAGTGTACCGTGCTTTGTCCAGAAGGTCATCTTCTGTCTGTCCTTCTCCTTTGTCCCAGCCCTTCACTTGTGTCTGTTTCTGCTCTTTCTCTGTCCTGGACTCCTGCTCACCATCTCCTGTCGGTCTGCTTTGCTAGTTAATGAGCTTTCTGGAGCAGGGACCGTGTCTAACTCCCCCTGACTGCCAGGCATTCACAGCCAGTACTCGCATGTTTGCTGACTGAGGGCTACAGGAGCCGTGGGTAGTCACGACTGCCCGCTAGGACTAGGATGTGGCTGTCCTGACCCCACAACCCCAAACCCTGTCCATGCTGAAGACCGAGACTGAGGGCAACACAGTGCCTCAGTGACTGAGGGCCCAGACTTTGGGACCCAGCATCGTGAGCTCACATACTAGCGAGATGTTGACCGGTGTCACCGACAACTATGGGCATGGCCAGATCAGCAGCCTTTCCCCCTTCTCTGGGAACAATATCACCCTGATTTCCTTTGGAAAATCAAGTTTCAAAAGTGCCACCCAGGGGACAGCATAGCATGAATGAGGAGGGAGCTACAACGGAAGAAAGAAGAGCAGAGACCAGATTTCTGATGCCGTTTGAACACCTGGATCCAGCCATGCCTGATTTATTTCAGTCAATTTCTGTGCCTTGCAACTTGAATATCCTAACCTAGCAGTTGTGAGATGTTGTATTTACAGCAGGTAGCATGACACATCGTGGCTGATCCCCAATTTTTTTTTTTTTGAGTTGGAGTCTCACTCCGTCACCCAGACTGGAGTGCAGTGGCATGCTCCTGGCCACCGCAGCCTCAACCTGCTGGGCTCTGGCGATCCTTCCGCCTCAACCTTCCAAATAGCCGGAACTACAGGCACGCGCTACCACACCCGGCTAGTTTTTTATTTATTGTAGAGATGAGGTCTCACCAAGTTGCCCGGGAGGGTCTCAAACCCGTGGGCTCAGGCAATCCATTCACCTCATCCTCCCCAAGCACGGGATTACAGGCTGAGCTACCGAGCCCGGCCTGATCCCAAATTATATGAGAGCTGTTACTATTATTAAGACTCAAGCTACCAAAGTAAGTCATGCCCAGCATCCCAGATGGCCAGCAAGATGACTGTCTGCCCAAAGTCACGCAGCTGGGACTGTGTGACACACCCCCAGAAGCCAGAGAGAAGTGAGTCCGATCCTAGCCCTACCACTTCCCAGATGTGTGGTCACTGTCTGGAAGGCAGGCCATCACCACACCCATGGTCACAGGAGCCAACCAGAAGGTCTTACCCTCCTTTCTCTGACCTGCGGTGTCTCCTCCTGCGGGGGACCTGGTGAGGACAGATGCAGCCCTTCGGGCACCGTCAGTCCTAGGTCCCTCCTGGGTCCTCCGCGGGATCATCACGGTGTGCTTATCCCAGCTGGGGGTCTCCTCCTGTCTCTCAACAGTGTCCCAGTCCTGCCCAAGAAGGAGAGGAAAAAGTGTGTTTCGGTGAAACAAGAGGTCCCAGGATGTGCACTCCCAGCATGAGAGGGGTAAAAGGAGCTGGCATTTAAAGAGTACTTGCTGCATGCCTGGCACTATGCTGGGTTCTTGGCAGATGCTAACTCAGCTCATCTTCAATCAATCCTGGGAAACAGGCATATCCGTTGGAGCTAAGAACTTTGCCCAAAGTCACGCAGCTGGGACTGTGTGACACACCCCCAGAGGCCAGAGAGAAGTGAGTCTGATCCCAGCCCTACCACTTCCCAGATGTGTGGCCTGGGTTGCTTTCCCCTCTGAGCCTCAGCCCCAAGCGGGGCCATACCATACTGCCTCAGAGGATGGAGTTTCCCCGGGCCAGGCCCACCAAGCCCCCAGCACAGTGCCGGCTACACAGCGTGTGTGCAGGCTGGGACGTTTTTTATTCTGTGCTCCCTCACTTCCCCGTCCCTTTCCTTTAGGGCTCTCAGGAAACAAGTCTGCCTCTTCTGCCCCATGGCTGTCCTTTGGAATGTGGACACTCGAGGAAAGGCTCCTGGGTCTTTTCTTTCTCCAGCAATATGGCCTCTGTCCTTGGGAGCCCCCAGCATCTCCCTTTCCTCTGTTTCTTGCAGATCTATGCCAGAACTGGTCAAGGGCTCAGCTGTGTGTGAGCAGGGCAGGGCCCGGGCGCCAACCCGTCCTGGCTTTAGACACCACACCCAGCATCCCAGCCCACTGTGACCTGGGAGGTCTTGGCAGCCCGAGCCGGCCGCTGATTCACCGGAAGCTCCCTGTTAGCAGAGACTCCTTCCCCATCTCCCCTTCACAGTAGAATCCCCTCCCGCTTGGGCTAGCCCGTGCAGAGACCCCCTGCCCCTCCAGCCAGTTATCAGGGTGGCCCGAGGTGCCTGCTAACAGTCCGCACACCTCAGGCCAGTCCCTTGGTTTAGGTGGTACCAGGGCTGGGAATGGAGGGTGACCTGCTCTTGTCTCCCCGGCCCCCGGCCCCAGCTCACCACAGAGGACGAGTTGCTGGGATCATCAGGGGTGTCGCAGTCAGGACTGGAGCTGGGGTCAGAGTCGGGGCCCTCGTCGCAGCTGCCACACGGGGAGGAGGTCAAGCCCTCCAGATAGGGCACTGCCGCGAGCTCCTGGTTCCTGTTCCCAGGGGCGGCTGCGGGGCCCTCTTCAGGGAACCCGGCTGGTGGGGTTGGGCCCCTGGGAGGGGAGACAGTCCCATGACGTTTTCCAAAAGTAGTTTGGAATTCGGAGTGACACCTCCACCCCACCCAGGTCCACATGCTCACACAGGGGGCCTGGAATCCACGGAAGAGGGAGCCGACACCGAGGGCTGTGTCTATGCTAGACTCTGTATGGGTTGTCTCGTCGGGCTACAACAGCCTTCCTTTGAAGCAAGTATAATGATTCCCATTTCACAGATGAAGAAAGTAAGGTCTAAGGTCAGAGACTGACCCAGCTCACCGAGGTAGGAAAGAAAGCAGTGTTGTGATCCAGGACTACTGCTCCAGCCCTAACCTTCTGTCGCTGGAACAGGAGCGGGACTCCAAGCTCAGCAAGACTAGGAAAACAGACTCATGCTGGGCTAATGGGGGGGGCGGGTGTGAGAGGTAGCAGGGCTTTAGGGGCAGTGACAAGGTGACTGCAGCTGAGAGGGAGCTGCAGAGAAAGCCCTGCTTTAGAAAGGCACGGGTTCAAGTAGGCTTAGAGCTGGCAGTATCCCCAAAGAGTGACAATAGATTGGCCTGCAAGATGGTCATGGGTGATGAGCCTGAAAAAGACTGCTGTAGTCAACTAAGTTTGGGACCTGCGGCACACTTCCTTACCTCCCTCACCTAAAAGTCATAATGCATGCCTGCAAACTAAGGCTCTGACAAGTCCTGGCTGGGAAGCTATTCAACTTAATTTATCCCAGACTTTCTGAAACATACTTGATAGCAAAGCTATTTTTTAAAAATAATGCCTACCTGTGAGGAGCACGTCAAGTTCTCAAAGCAGCTGGTTTGATACAACTACTCTTATTTTACAAACAGGGACACTGAGGCATAGAAAGATAGAGTAACTTGCCAAAAGTCTCACAGCCCATCAGGGATGGAGCTAAAGCTTGGACACATGTTTCCAGATTCTCAGGCCATGGCCCCCTGAAGGGGACTTCAGCTCTGGCCTGGGGCTGGAAGGAATTCCAGAGCTCAGAGAAGGGCATACCCGGGTAGGTGGGTGACAGCAGGTGCCCTGTGCGCAGGGGCTGTTTAAAGTTTTAAAGCTGTGCAAAGGCAACCAGGAAATGTGAGCGGGCTGTGGGCCATGCCCACCGCAAGGTGGGTACACAGTGTCCCACACCCCGGAGCAAAGCTGAGCTCCATCTTGGGAATTATGGGGAGGGGAGGGCTGAGTAGGCTCAGGGACCCAAGTGCCAGCACGGTCTGACCTGTGCCCTCCCAGCGGACCCAAGGAGCAAACCTGCTGCCCACCTGTGCCCAGGCTGCATGGACTGAGCACGTGACGCACGCCAACAGCCATCACAGACGCTGCCATCGGGAAGGGATGCGGGTGGGGAGAGTGAGAGTGCTTTACCCCAGGGAGCCCTTCCCCCGGCCCTGGGGCTCTACCCACCTCTTTGGCCTCGGCCTGAGGCCTGGGACCCCCACAGACTGGCAGCCAGAAGTCGAGGCGCTGAGCGGGTCCTCAGGGGCAGGTGGGCATCGGGGCAGATCGCAGTAGGGCGCCTCGGCACTTGGAGGGCTCCCGAGCTCCTGGGCCAGAGTTGGAGAGAGGAGGCAGTTCAGCGCCCACGTGGGGGCTCCCCTCCCCTACACAGCCCCTCCCAGCACTGGGTGTGGGAGTCTCCAGGCATCTCCTCCTGGGAGCTCACACTTCTCAAGGAGAGCTGCCCATCAGGTGCAGCCGCCCCTTGGGACTCAAGCCGGGGGCTGACCAAGGGACCCATGTGAGCGCATGCACACGTGTGTACATGTATGGGCCTCGGCACAGGTATGTGTGTGCTGAAGGCCTGTGTGTTTGGGGCGCATGTGTGCACACGAGTGTTGAGAGCACATGTGTGCAGGTGCAGTGGGTTCCCCAGTGCATGTTTGCAGAAGCACAAGTCCACTTAGCAGTGCGCGAACGTGAACGTCCAGAAGGGTCTCTGGAGCCAGAAGACGAGGGTAAGGAGGGAAGATTAAGCTGGTCTGGAGACTAAGGAGAGGTCTGATGGAGGAGAAGATGGGCAAACCAGACCTTGGGGGGAAAGAGAAAGCTGCCCCCTGAAGGAGAGGCAGAGGGCTCTGGGGCTGGAGGTCAAGGTCCCGGGGGCGGGGGCCTTGAGCCGCCCGTCCTCTGTCCCTCGCCTCGGCAGGGCCACACCTGCGAAGGCTGGTGCTGGGCTCACCCGGGGGGAACGGCTGTTCACCTCCAGGAAGGCCCCCCCCATCCCTCCCCACCTCCTAGGAGTGGCAGGGCCCTCCCCTGGCGGTGGGAGACAGCGGCGGGCCGTGGCACCCTGTGCCCCGCCTCCTCTCGGGTTACCTGGGCAGCGGGCTCCGGTGGTGGTGGCTGTCGGCTGTCAGCACCCTCGTCCCCGGGGGGCTCCGGCTCAGGCCCCCACGCTGCCGCCCTCCCAGGTCCCAACTCTGGGACGTGGTGGCGGCGGCAGCCGAGGCAGCAGAAACCTTAGAGGGGCCGGCTTCGGGAGCAGGGGCCCCTCATTACTGTTTCATAAGCCGGGGCCCAGCCAAGAACAATGCAGGACATGAAACCGCAGGAACCTGATCCCAGCAGCTCACCTGAGAGCCAGGGCGGGCGGGAGCCTGGGCAAGGACTCCCTGGGGACCCTGGCGCCCGGGGCCCAGGGCCCAGGCCGCAGCCTGGTCAGCACCCTGGGTGGGCACTGGCTCTCCAGGATTCAAGGAGGCCACCCCTGGGGGCCGGGCAGTGCTGAGGAGTGGGGCTGGGGTGTCTGCTGCAACATCCAGGCCAGAGGAGGCCCGTCTGGGTTCAGTTTCGCCCCCTGCCCTGCAGCCAGATTCCGATCAGAGCTCGGCAGCAGAAGGTGTCAGATCCACAGCCGGGCCTGGCGCCTTGGCCACCCAGGGGACAGCACCGCATGAATGAGGAGGGAATGGTTCGCCAGGCGCTGCCAATGGGTCCCGACCCAGCCAGGCCCAGTGGGACCCCCAGCCTAACGCGGCACCTGGTCTCTGCTCTCACCCCAGCCCCTGTCACCACCGAGCGCCGTGTGAGTGGGCCTGGCAGTCAGTGCCTAGCTCTGATTTCGTGTCTGGCGGGTCAGCACGGGCTCTGGCCTCGGACAGACCTCAGCCCCATCCCAGCTCCTCCACTTCTCAGTTGGGTGACCTCAGCCTGGCGGCTTCCGCTCTCTGAGCCTTGTTTTCTCCTCTCTGAAATTGAGGCGGAGGTGTGACCAAGACCTGGGCCAAGTGACTCATCCTCTCCATGCCTCAGTTATCGCATGATGGCAGGACCCGCCTCCTAGGGGCGTTCTGAGAATGACATGAGCTAATAATTGTAAAGGGCTTTCCACAGTGTCTGGTCTGTACAATTTAAATATAATAAGTAATGTGAGAGCATTGACTAGACCTTTACATACGTTAAATCGGCAGAATAACATTAAATACAATTAAGAATAAGCTGAGCCAGGCACGGCAGTTCACACCTATAATCCCAGCACTTTGGGAGGTGGAGGCAGGTTCAAGACCAGCCTATACAATTTGGCAAGACCTCATCTCTACAATAAATCAAAAAATTAGTAGGGCACGGTGGCACACGCCTGTGGTTCCAGCTACTTGGAAGGCTGGGGCAGAAGGATCGCCTGAGCCCAGCAGGTCGAGGCTGCGGTGGTCATAAGCGTGGCAACAGAGTGAGACTCCGACTAAAATAAAAAATAAAAAAGAATAAACTGAGGCTGAGTATGGTGGCTCATTTCTATAATCCCAGCACTTTGGGAGGCTGAGGTAGGAGAACCATTTGAAGCCAGGAGTTTGAGCCTGGACACATAGCAAGAGCCCCTTTCTACAAAAAAAATACGTATTTAAAGTAGCTGGGCATGGTGGTGTCTGCCTATAGTCCTAGCTATTTGGGAGACTGAGGTGGGTGGATAACTTAAGCCCAAAAGTTTGAGACTACAGTGAGCTATGATCATGCCACTGCACTCCAGTCTGGGTGACAGAGCAAGACCCTGTCTCTTAAAAAATAATAAAAATGGCTGGGCACGGTGGCTCAAGCCTGTACTCCCAACACTTTAGGAAGCCGAGGTGAGAGGATTGCCTGAGCCCACGGGTTCAAGACAAGCTTGGGCAACTTGGCGAGACCTCATCTCTTCAATAAATCAAAAAATTAGCCGGCGTGGTAACGCACACCTGTAGTTCCGGCTACTTGGAAGGCTGAGGCAGAAGGATTGCCTGAGCCCAGCGGGTCAACGCTGGGTGGCCGTGAGTGTACCACTGCACTCCAGTCTGGGCAACAGAGTAAGTCTTCAACTCAAAAATAATAATAATAATAATTATAATGATAATAAAAATAAATTGAAAAGGGTGTGTGGTACCTAGCAAACAGGAAGACCGTCTCACCCTGCCCCTCTTCCCTCTGGTCCATGTGAGTGGGGGTGACCCCACATCTCAGTCCATGGGAGACCCAGCTGTGAGTAGATCAGGGGTGAGCAGGGAGGGGCATGCAGAGCCCAGGAGCCTAGGGAAGCCAGAGCTCACCCAGGGCACTCTGCATGACCAGTTGACCAAGAGTTGGTCGTGCTTGGTAGGCAAGGACACCTTGGGTCCTGGGGCCATTCTGCATATTCTAGGGTGGCTGAAGATATCAGAACTGGACCCAGCCCTGTGTCTTCACTGAGCTCCAGGAGACACTTCTGTCAGGCTGATGGAGACGAATCTGCCAGATGTACCATGGGGATGCTTGACTCCACCTGTTTGAAATCTCTTGACCTAAAGCCAGGGACAAACACAGCCAAGGTTCCAGAATCCTTGGAGGAAAAATTGGCTATACTTGGATCCCCACAGACCCATTGTGTGAGAGACAGGGGGAGCAGTGGATGACACAGACGGGGCAAGTTGGGGAAACTCTGCCCCCAAAGCAACTGGCGAGGGTGGCGGGAACGATTCACCCGCGCCTTCAGTGCCCGACCACACAGTACCACGGAATGGGTCTAGCGTGGCAGCAGGGGTGGACAGAGAGGCCAACAAAGAGTCCAGAATGCACAATTGTCATCTTGTCATCTTCTGGGGACAGGGTCACTTTTCTATTGTCACATCTGGTACACAGGGGATTGTCTCCTGCCCAGAGTCAAGTCTCCAGGCCTGGCTTAGGGACATCACAGTCACCTCTTATGCATTTGCAGAATGCGGGGGTGGCTCATAACCAGGTCATCATCGGAGCAACTGAAGGTCAAGAAAGTAAAGGGTTGGCCGGGCTCGGTGGCTCAGGCTATCATCTCAGCACTTTGGGAGGCCGAGGCGAGTGGATTGCCCGAGCCCACGGGTTCGAAACCCACCCAGGCAACTTGGTGAGACCTTGTCTCTACAATAAATCAAAAATTAGCCGGGCATGGTAGCACATGCCTGTAGTGGCTTCTTGGAAGGCTGAAGCGGAAGGATTGCTGGAGCCCAGCAGGTCGAGGCTGCGGTGGCTGTGAGCATGCCACTGCACACCAGCCTGGGCGACAGAGTGAGATACCAACTCAAAAAACAAACAAAAAAAGAAAGTAAAGGGTTGAGCCATCTCTGGCCTTGGCCCCAAAAGGAGGGGCACACTCCAGGGTCTGCCTCTGACCCTCTGGCCACTCCATCTCCATCTTCTTGGCTGTCTGCCTGCTGTTGCCTGCATCACAATTCTGATTCCCCAGCCTTACTCAGGCCTCTTTCTGTCTCGCTCTACACTCTCCTCTGCAGACGACGGCTCATCCACAAGCAAAGCTTTGGTGAGTGCCAGGTCCTGAGGCTCTGCAGGCCTCCATCTCCTGCGGTGGTCCAGCCCCTGAGCCCCAGGCCCCTGAATTCACTAACCTCCCCTGGTCTCCCTGGTATCCTGCAGGCACCTCACGCCACGCCCAAATGACTCCAAAGAGGCCTCCCATCCCATTACCTGACCTGGAGAAGTAACTTAGGAGTCAGTCACCCCCAATTCTGTAGATTCTCCTACTCAATTCATTCTGAAATCTGTCCTTCTGTCTCCATCTCAAAGCCCCTGTCATCTCTGGCACAAATGAGGACTTTCACCTTTTCCTCACGGGTCACCTGGATTCACTTCCAGCACCCTGTATGCCGTTCTCTGCCCAGCAATCAGAGTGACTTTTAAAGATGCACATCAGATCATGTTGCTCCCTTGTTTAAAGCCTTTTTTTGTTTTGCTTTGTTTTGTTTTGAGTTGGAGTCTTACTCTGTCACCCAGACTGGAGTGCAGTGGCACGCTCCCGGCCACCGCAGCCTCGACCTGCTGGGTTCCGGCGATCCTTCCGCCTCAGCCTTCCGAGTAGCCAGAACTACAGGCGCGCACTACCACGCCTGGCTAATTTTTGATTTATCGTAGAGACGAGGTCTCGCCAAGTTGCCCGAGTGGGTCTCAAACCTGCGGGTTTAGGCAATCCACTCGCCTCAGCCTCCCAAAGTGCTGGGATTACAGGCTGAGCCACTGAGTCCGGCCTATTTAAAGTCTTAAGTGGCTCCCCATGATGCTCAGAATAGAATCCAAAGTTCTCAGCATGTCCACAAAGTCGCACAAGGCCTGGTCAGACCAGGCCCCACCCATTCTCCACCCTCAACCTTAGCTCCCCTGACTTCCTTCTCACTGACCTATCTCCAGCCCTCCAATGAGTGGCTTCCTTTCTGCCTCAGGACCTTTGCACATTCTATTTCCTTCTTTTCATGTTCCCCCAACTTCACTGACTAATGCTAATGCCTATATGGCCTTTATCAAACAGCTGAAATGACATTTCCTTGGAGAAACTCTCCTCAATGCCCTATCATTTCCCCTCATACCACTTGCTTTTCTTTGATGACAGTGATCACAACCATGACTAAATAGTCATTTGTGGCCAGGTGCAGTGGCTCATGCCTGTAATTCCAGCACTTTGGGAGGCTGAGGTGGGAGGATTGCTTGAGCCCAGGGGCTCAAGACCAGCTTAGGCAACACAGCAAGACCTTGTCTCTACAAAAAAATTAAAAAGTTAACAGGGTGTAGTGACATGTGCCTGTAATCCCAGCTAGCTGTGAGGCTGAGGTGGAAGGATTGCCTGAGCCCAGGAGTTAGAGGCTGTGATAAGCCATGATTGTGCCACTGCACTCCAGCCTGGGTTACAGTGAAACCCCAACTCGCCAAAAAACAAACAAACAAAAGTCATTTGCACGATTCCTTTCTTTTCTTTTTTTTTTTCTTTAGTTGGAGTCTCACTCTGTCACCCAGGCCGGAAGGCAGTGGCATGCTCACAGCCTCGACCTGCTGGGCTCAGATGATCCTTCCACCTCAGCTGTCCAAGTGACTGGAACCACAGGCACGTGCCTCCACACCCGGCTAATTTTTTGATTTATTGTAGAGATAAGGTCTCACCAAGTTGCCCAGGCTGGTCTCAAACCCGCGGACTCAAGAAATCCTTTCACCTCGGCCTCCCAAAGTGCTGGGATTACAGGCTGAGCCACTGCGTCCGGCTGCATGATTCCTTTCCTACTCTCCATTTCCCTTTCTAGATAGACTACAAACCCCATGGAGCCAGGAATGCATCTGTCTTATGCGTCACTGTTCCCCAACATCTAGCGTGATGCCTGGTGCCTTTTAAGTACCTGCTCAGTATATATGAATACACGAGCCGGCCCAAGGTCTCAGCTGGGAAATGGTGGAATGGGGACTCCCTTAGACTGGCCTGAATCCAGGGCCCTCCTCCTGCTCCACACTTGCTGTCTCAGGTCCCTGCATGGAAGATGGATTCACAGGACTCTTGAGAAGGATCACTTCATCCCAGGAGTTCGAGACCAGCCTAGGCAACATAGATGAGTGATCTCATCTCTACAAAAAAAGTCAGAAAGCAGCCAGGCGTGGTGGTGCATGCCTGTAGTCCCAGCTACTCGGGAGACTGAGTCAAGAGGATAGCCTAAGTCTAGGAGATTAAGGCTGCAGCGAGCAGTGATGGTGCCACTGCACTCCAGCCTGGGTGACAGAGTGAAATCCAGACTAAAAAAAGGAAAAAAAAAAAGAATTCGAGACCAGTCTGGGCAACTTGGTGAGACCTTGTCTCAACAATAAATCAAAAAATTAGCTAGCATAGTGGCACACACCTGTCGTTCCAGCTACTTGGAAGCCCGAGGCAGAAAGATTGCTTGAACCCAGAAGGTCAAGGCTGTGGTAACTGTGATTGTGTCACTGCACTTTTACCTGGGCAACAGAGTGAGACTCCAACTCAAAAAAAAAAAAAAAAGAATTAGCCACATGTGGCTTGGGCTAAGCAGAGAAGCCTGTTACCCCACATTTCCCACAAGGAGAATGAAGCCAGAGAAGTTAAACAACACAAGGTGTCGCGGTACTCTGGCCTACTGGACTCCAATGCCGAATGGGAACCCCCTCACAATGTGGCTATCATTACTACAATGGCCACCTCGAAGAGCGTAGCTCCCTGCATAAAGCTGGCTGCCAGGCTCACGACGAGCTTCAGACCCTGATGGGAGTGATGAGACCATAGCAGGTCAGGCCTGGAAGGGTTCTTGGTGACACATATCTCATACTTCTCCCAGCATGTGTACCAGGGACTCTGGGCTTGTGCCGGGGCTTGGCATCCGACCTCACCAATCACAAGGGAAGAAAATGACTCCTCTTCCACTCTCTCAACTTCAGGAAGAAAGTCTCCAGTCAGTGCTGGTAGGTTTTTTTCTTTGTTTTGAGTTGGAGTCTCACTCTGTTGCCAAGTTGGAGTGCAGTGGCATGCACACAGCTACCACAGCCTTGACCTGCTGGACACAGGCGATCCTTCTGCCTTAGCCTACCAAGTCACTGGAACTACAGGCATGCACCACCACACCTGACTAATTTTTTGATTTATTGTAGAGATGAGTCAAGATGCCCAGGCTAGTCTCTGCCAAGATGCCCAGGCTAGTCTCGAACTCCTGGGCTCAGGCGATCCTCTCACCTCTGCCTCCCAAAGTGCTGGGATTACAGCTATGAACCACTGCACCTGGCCTGGTGCCGGTGAACTGTTAACCTCTCTCTAACATCTGCTAATCTCCTTTTCTGACAGAGACAGCAGGACCCAAGCCCAGAGCCTTCTATCCACTACATGCTCAAGACAGGATTTGATGACATTTCTATTTTGGCTTTTCTTTTTCTATCATTCCTTTTAACTTTCTCTGTGTAGAACATAATCCTAGTTTTCTATTTGTGTTGATGATGTAAAGTTTTGTTTCAGTATAAGGAGAAAAAGGTGCCGGTTTGGAGAACAATAAAGTAAGTACTAGATTAGATGAGGCTATGATAGAAATCATAAAGCAGGAGGAAAGTGACCAGAGATTGGGGAGTAATTACATGATCCAACCACCACATTGTACAGATGAGAAAGTCGAGGCTCCGGCCAGAAGCAAGGCCAGCATCTGGGTTCAGCTGCAAGTTAGTGGCCCAGCCAGGCCCAGCCCATGACTCACTCCCCATCCCAAACTACTCGGGAAGGCTAGCCCACCTCGCTCCTTGTTCCGTGGGCCTCCTCAGGGCGGAAGCAGTTTTGACAGCAGTTCTGGGCAAGCATGTTGGCCTCAAAGCGCACACACAGGGCATTCCCAGCCACCTCCTCCATAGCGGTTGAGTCTGACCAGGCCGGCTCCTGCGATCTGATGGCTGTCTCTCTAGGTGAGGCCTGGGAGAACTGTGGGGAGGTGATGACCAAATTACTAGTTGGCCACCCACTCAGACTTCAGCCCCAGTTTCCCAGGCCAGACAAGGACCAAGGAAATAGCTATTCATCTGTTCATTTATTCACTCAACAAACACTCATTAAACACCCACTAAGCACCCAGGCACTCTGCCAAGCATTGATGTGTGATGGCTAGTCCTACTGAAGTGTTGCTCAAAGTGTCCTTGAAGGACCCTATGTGACACCCTCCTCGGCAGCTCATAAAAATGCACATTCCAGCCGGTAGTGGTAGTGCACACCTGTAGTTCCGGCTACTCGGAAGGCTGAGGTGGAGGGATCGCCGGAGCCCAGCAGGTCGAGGCTGCGGTGGCCGGGAGCGGCCACTGCACTCCAGTCTGGGCGACAGAGTGAGACTCCAACTCAAAAAAAAAAAAAAAAAAAGCAGATTCCCACTTCCCTCTCCTGATCCACCCAGTCGAAATCTCCAGGGGGTAAGGCCTGGGGGTTGTACATTTTAAACAAATCCTTTAGGTGATTCCAGTGCACCCCAAAGTTTACCTTTGTCTTGTAGCTACTCTACATTGTAGATCCAATTAATGCCAATTTCAGATCAAGTAATTCACTTAAGGTCACAGTGGCGGAACTGGATTTAAATCCACGTCTGTGTGCCTCCTCGCTCTCTTAGGGTGGAGGTGAAGGGCACTGGATCACACTGCCAACTAACACAGGTCCCTTGGGGAGAACAGGAAGTGAGGCTGAAGGCTGGCCAGGTATTGAGTTGAGGACAAAATCTTGGGCAGAAGTGAACAATCTAAAGCCACACAGCAAGTTTTTGGCAGAGTTTAGCCAAAAAGAAGCCCTGGTATCTTGACTTGTGCCCAGGGCTCTCCTTTCTGGGTGCCCCTGGGGGTACCAACATCTATGCTGTGGAAGTGAAACTGGGTCATGAGAGCCATGTATAGATGCCCTCTCCATCCATACTGAGCCCTAGTGGAAGGGGGATGGTGGGAGGAATCTGACATTCCAAGCTGAAGGCACCTTATGGTACCCCCAAGTCACCTGCCCATCTCCGTTCTCACCTGGTGTGTATCCTCCACAACGTCCCAGGGGATCAGGCCTTTGTTGCCAATCTCAGCTGACAGCTGAGGAATTTCACATCCTCCCCTGGGACAGCCAGGGCCATGGCTCCTCGCTCCACCATCAGACCTGGAGAGGGGAATGGTGCTGGGGTAGGGCACGATGGGGAGTGGCCACCCACTGGCCCTTCCTTGGCCCCGGGGTCTCCGATCTCCCCACGTCGTTCCCGGCTCCTGGTGGTGGGAGGGGGCGCATCGGTCCCGCCCTTCCTGGGCGGTTCTTTCCTGGGCTGGCCACATAAAGGAGCATCCTCCAACGGAGAACGTTGCTCATTTCCCGGGGGCGGGCAGGGGGTACTCTACTCCACGTGCCCCTCGCTGCTCCTGTTTCCTCCCCTACCCTCGACCACCTGGCAGAATTCTTCCCGAAAATGCACTGGGGATGAGCTGTAATCATGAAAAACCTTAAGGAGACACGCACGCCCCACCCGGAGAATGGGCCTCTGGACCCCTCGCCATCCAGCCAGTCAGCCAGTTCCTCCCGGTATTTCTCGACCCCCTGCCCCTTCCATGGGCCTCCCCTCCCCACGCCTTCTTTTCCGCTGCCCAGTACTGACCTCGGCTCGGGTTTCCACGCACAGGGGCTGCCGGGGTGGGGGTGCCAGGGTCACGGACTCTGTATTTTAACAATGAATCAGAACGTTGCCCGGGAGGTGGACCTAAGGCCACGCCCCAGCCGCGCTCGCATTGGCCCGCTCTTAGCGCTCATTTACATGAAGAATGTGGGATTGGACAAGCCGGAGACAAGGGGCGGGGCGGGGCGGAGGCGGCGGCGCCCAGATGCCTCTGAGCGCGGGACCCGCAGCACGTTTAGTCTGGGCGGCCCCTCTCCCTCTCTCGTTCGGGGTCCCCAGGGGCCCTTGAGAGGGCTGGCACGGACAGACCTGGGCCCTTTTGATCTCTTTCCCATTGGTTCTTCTGGCCAAGGTCCCTAGACTGGCTTTAACCCAGACCTTGGGCTAGAGGCTTCCGTCCTGTTCTGTTACTTGTAAAATGGGGACAGTGTAATTGAACTGTGAGGAGGAAAAGTTAAGAAAGTACATCAGGTGAATGCTGAACGGATGCGCAGTACTAAAGCCGCAGTACTCTGGTTTTCATCGCAGCCAGGGCCCCAGGAACCACCACTCCCTGCCCAGGGGTTTCAACCTGCATTTGTATATTGCCACTGATTTGGAGCTCATTTCATAAAACACACAGCTTTCCCCCTTTTAAAGCATTTGTTCTGCATTGTCTGTACACCAGATCCTATTCCAAAACTTTTACATTCATGAGGACATAGTAACCTGAAGAATTAATGACCAAGACCCCCATTTCACAACAACTGAGGAACACAGTTTACTGCCTTGCCTGTGTTACACTGCTCCTAAGAGCCAGGACTGAAGCCCCAGTGCGTCTGACTCCACAGGTCGCTACAGAGCATCTTCATTTCTAATTCACTCAGATATTCACATGTGTCTGGTACATGCCAGGCCAGCGCCAGGCACCCAGAGATAGTAACATGAATAAACTGTGACTCTTTCCCAGACAGGGGGCTTATTGGCCAGGGGGAGAGACAGACCTGAACAGGTCATCCCAGCCCAGTATGGAACTGACTAAACCCAGCTTTTTTTTTTTTAATTGGAGTCTCACTCTGATGCCTAGGCCAGAGTGCAGTGGCACGCTCAGGGCCACCGCTGCCTTAACCAGCTGGGCTCAGGCAATCTTTCAGCCTCAGCCTTCCGATTAGCTGGAACCACAGGCACACGCCACCATGCCCGGCTAATTTTTTGATTTATTGTAGAGACGAGATCTTGTCAAGTTGTCCAGGCTGATCTCGAACCTGTGGGCTCTGGCAATCCTCTTGTCTCTACCTCCCAAAGTGCTGGGATTATAGGCGTGAGCCATCACACCTGGCTGAACCCAGCTTCTTAACAAGGATAATGAACTTTCTGCTTGGTCTGTCTTGCTGAAAGCAAAACAGGAGCTAGTGAAACCCATGTTCAGTATCTAACTCGCACTTTCTGAGTGTGTGATCCGGAGAAAGTTGCTTGACCTCTCTAAGCTTAGGGTAGGGTAGATGCTTTGTTGAATCTGAAGCACAGCCCTCTAGTCCCCACCAATCAGGAACACCTAGAGCCAACTTAGAGTGGCACTCCTGACAATTCATTAAATATGTATGAAGCTAGGTATGGTGGACTCACCCATAGTCCTAGCTACTTAGAAGGCGGAGACAGGAGGATTGCTTGAGTCTAGGAGTTTGAGGTCAGCTTGGACAACATAGGGAGACCCTGACTCTAAACAGATACATTTGTGAAGTCTCTGCTTTGTTAGTTGTGTGCTGAGGATAGATAAATCAGTGAGCAAAAAATAGAATCTCTTGCTTCCATGATTCTCTTCTTTTTTTTTTTTTTTTGAGTCAGAGTTTTACGCTGTTGCCCAGGCTGGGGTGCAGTGGCATGCTCATGGCCACCGCAGCTTCGACCTCCTGGGCTCAGGTGATCCTTCCGTATCAGTCTTCCAAGTAGCTGCAACCATAGGCGCGTGCCACCAGGCCCGGCAACTTTTTTGATTTATTATGGAGATGAGGTCTCACCAAGTTGCCCAGGCTGGTCTCCAGCCCCTGAGCTCAGGCAATCCTCTCACCTCGGCCTCCCAAAGTGCTGGGATTACAGGCGTGAGCCATTGTGCTCTGCCACTTCTGTGGCTCTTACAATAGAGAAAAACTGACCTCAAACAATTTAAGTAAAATATGTAGTATGTTGGCTGGTGACAGGTGCTAAGAAGAAAAATGAAGTAGGAGAGGGACTTGGAAGTTGGAAGGGCAGGATATTTTACTTTTACTTTTATTTTTGAGTTGGAGTCTCATTTCATTGCCTAGACTGTAGTACAATAGCACGGCCAACCCAGCCTCCACCTGCTGGGCTCAGGTGATCCTTCCATTTTTTTGATAATTAATTTTTTGATTTATCGTAGAGACGAAGTCTCGCCAAGTTGCCCAGGCTAGTATCAAACCCATGGGCTCAGGCAATCCTCTTGCCTCGGCCTCCCAAAGTGCTGGGATTACAGGCTTGAGCCACCGCGCTCCACCGGGGCATGACATTTTAAACAAGGTGGTCAGGGAAGGCCACACTGAGGTGGTGACATTTGAGCAATGAGCCTGCATGTCCCAGGGGAAGAGTCAGGCTGAAGAGACCAGATGGTGGGGCTGGGTGGCAAAAGGGACAAGGGGTGGAGTCAAAGGGGCCAGGGGGCTGTCCTAAGCTCTCTCCCCATTTTGGAGCTGCCTGGCTGGGCCCCTGGTGGTATGGAGGGTGGGGGACAGGGGTCAGCAGACAGTGTCCTGGAAGGAGAGATTCGAGGGGGGAGGGGGAAGGGGCGGCTGGGGAGCCAAGGGTGTGACAGAGAGTGGAGAAGGGGACAGCTGGAAGAAGCCCCCCTCTTGTAGGGGGACAAGAGTGATGACTACGGTTGAGGCCAGGAAGGCTCTTGGCCATCCAGGTAACAGCTCCTCCTCTTCCCAGGAGTGCAAAGCCCCCTCCTGGCTCACACAGAGGCGTGTTTGTCCCCACACCATCGCTGCAATGGAGGGAAGGGCAGCTGTTGTTATCCCTACTTTACAGAAGGGAAATTCAAGGTCAAGCAAGTTACCCAAAGCCACTAGATAGAGCCTGGTATAAGAAACATACTCCCAGGCCGGGCTTGGTGGCTCAGCCTGAAATCCCAGCACTTTGGGAGGCCGAGGTGAGTGGATTGCCTGAGCCCGCGGGTTCAAGACCCGCCCGGGCAACTTGGCGAGACCTCATCTCTACAATAAATCAAAAATTAGCCGGGTGTGGTAGCGCACTTGTAGTTCCAGCTAGTTGGAAGGCTGAGGTGGAAGGATTGCCGGAGCCCAGCAGGTCAAGGCTGCAGTGACCGGGAGCATGCCACTGCACTCCTGTCGGGGCGACAAAGTGACACTCCAACTCAAAAAAAAAAAAACAAAAAGAAAGAAACATACTCCCAGCCTAGGGTGGTGGGGGCTCATGCCTATTATCCCAGCACTTTGGGAGGCCGAGGTGGGAGGATCACTCGAGCTGAGGAGTTAGAGACCTGGGCAACATAGTGAGAGCCCATCTCTAAAAAAAAAAATTTTTTTTTATAATTAGCTGAAAATATGGTATGCACCTGTAGTCCCAACTGCTCGGGAAGCTGAGGTGGGATGATCACCGGAGCCCAGGAGGTCAAGGCTGCAGTGAGCTACGATCATGCCACTGCGCTCCAGCCTATTTTACAGAGTGAAAACTCAACTCAAAAAAAGAAAGAAACAAAAACAAAACACACTCCCAGAGTTCCATGGGATAGTTCAGACAATTCAATGAGGTGTGATGGTTGGCAGCCAGGGCAAAGCCACCACTTGACACCATGTAGGCCCTTTGTGCCCTGCAATTCGTCTTGTTCATCTCCACATCTCTGCCCACACCGTTCCCCTCTGCTGGGGAAGTAGGACCAGCAGACGGTTCCAGCCCCCTCCCCTCTGAACCGGTTTTCTCACCTGTCAAGTGGGAATGGCGGGCCCAGACCTCCCTGCCACAGCCCTGCTGGAGAATCAAGCACCCAGTGGAGCAGGGGCAGAAAAGCATGAGTCCTGAAGGGGCCCAGAACTGGCTGGCTCCAGCCTATGGATGTGGAAACAATCCACATCCTAGACAGAAGCATCCAGCCCACCAAACTGGATGGACAAGCCCAAGAAAGCCAAGGCCGAGACCCAGGGTCTCGTCTTCAGGTGGTGCCGCTCGCATGGCTCACAAGATGGACACCCCACGAAAGACACCAGTCCTGTGCTGTTCCCCAGACCTGATGATTCAATGTGGCCAGGCTTGATTTCACTGGAAAAGTCAGACATCTGAACTTTTATAAGAAATCTCAAAATTTTTAAATATAGCTATTAGGTCAACTTGTTTCTTAAACATTGTATTAATAAAACCAAATTGATCTTCAGGCCTTGTTTTGGTTTTTTTTGTTTGTGTGTTGGGGTCTCACTCTGTCACCCAGGCTAGAGTGCAGTGGCATATGCACGGTCACCACAGCCTCAACCTGCTGGGTTCAGATGATCCTTCCGCCTCAGCCTTCCAAGTAGCTAGAACTACAGGCGTGTGCTACCATGCCCGGCTAATTTTTTAATTTATTACAGAGACAAGGTCTTGCCATGTTGTTCAGGCTGGTCTCAGATCCCTGAGTCAGGCAATCCTCTAGCCTCTGCCTCCCAAAGTGCTGGAATTATAGACGTGAGCCACCGTGTCCAGACCAGGCCTTGTTTTCTTTCTTTCTTTTTTTTTTGAGTTGGAGTCTCACTCTGCACCCAGACTGGAGTGCAGTGGCCACTCCCGGCCACCACAGCCTCGACCTGCTGGGCTCCGGCGATCCTTCCGCCTCAGCCTTCCAAGTAGCTGGAACTACAGGCGCTCATTTTGATTTATTGTAGAGATGAGGTCTTGCCAAGTAACCCAGGCAGGTCTCGAACCCGTGGGCTCAGCAGGCCTTGTTTTCTATGCAGAGTGTCTCTGAAATGATAAATCACAGATTTCCATTCCTTAGTGATGGCTTCCTTGTTCCTCCCTCCAGGAAGCCCTCCCTGGCTTCCCAAGCCTTAAATGTGTTCGCTCTCCTGGGATCCTGCACAGGGCTGGTATCTTTTGTGGGGTATCCTTCATCTGGCACCTCCCGAAGACAAGACCCTGAATCTTGACCTTGGCTTTCTTGGGTTTGCCCAGCCAGTTTGGTGGGCTAGATGCTTCTATCTAGGATGTGGACTGTTTCCCTGGGGAAAAACTCATGGCTTGGCCACCTGGACCCTCTGGATCTCTCTCTTGGATGTGTGCCCAGTCAGAGGCCACTCACAGTTTGAATCCCAGCTCCATGCCTATAGTCCCAGTTACTTGGGAGGCTGAGGCAGGAGGATTGCTTGAGCCCAGGAGACCAGCCTGGACAACATAGTGAGACCCCAATTCTGAAAAAGAATGAAATTCCAGCTCCAACTGAGAGGCAGTGAGTAGTCAGAACTCAGCTAAGACAGTGTCTTGGCCAATGTGGGAGCCACTCAATTGTGCCTCACCTACAAATGGGCTTCATGGAACAGCATACCCTGTGGGGCTACCGTGAGGCATATAAGTCACTGGAGGGCAGGGACTGCCCAGTCTTGCTCACCAAGGTATTCCCAGTGCCTGGGACTTAGTAGGTGCTCAGTGAGTGTCTGGAGAGCTGGGTTCGGTGGCTCAGCCTGTAATCCCACGCCTTTGGGAGGCTGAGGTGAGTGGATTGCCTGAGCCCACGGGTTCGAGACCTGCCTGGGCAATGAGACCTCATCTCTACAATAAATCAAAAAATCAGCCGGGCGTGGTAGTGCATGCCTGTAATTCCGGCTACTTGGAAGGCTGAGGCGGAAGGATTGCCGGAGCCCGGCAGGTTGAGGCTACGGTGGCCAGGAGCAGCCACTGCACTGCAGTCTGGGCAACAGAGTGAGACTCTAACTCAAAAAAAAAGAAGTGTCTGGAGAGTGAACGGGCACCTGCATGAGGCGGGGCTTCCCGCCTCTCCCCTGCATAATCATGACTGGGGTATGTGCCCACCGCACTGCCACCAGGAGCTTTCTCTAAAACAAATCACTGACCCTGACTCTCCCCCTGCCCAAAGGATCAGGGCCCAGCTCCTTAGCTAAACATTTGGGGCCCATCAGGGTCTGGGCCCTGCTGGCCTCTGCAGCTTCCTCCTTTCCTCTGACCCCAACCTCCCTACTCACCAAGGACCCTATCTGCACACTCATCCCCTCCCCTGCTTGGTCAAATTGAATCATCTTTCGAGACTATGTCAAGTGTCACCTCCTCCTGGAAGCCTTCTTGAATGCCCTCCTCCCTGCTCTGTGCTCCCTGCTCTGTACAGATGTCTCCCCTCTGACTTTTTTGTCGAACCCCTGACCTCTAGGGCATGCACCTCCATGTGTCTGTTTCCTCCATGAGATGTGAGGCCCATGTCTCATTAGTCATGACAGGGTAACTTTTGATACTGCTTCATTTCTCTGAGACTCAGTTTTCTCATCTGCCAAACGAAACAATGCTGTTGTGAGTTGATGTACCTGTCTGGCACACTGGAGGTGCTGATACAAGTTGTTTCCATCCTCTTTCTTGATTATTTGCCCATTGTGGTAACTGGGGCAGAAGGGAGAGGTCCAAGTTCACTGGACAGGAGGAAGGCCCCAGTGGAGTTCAGGAGATACAGATGCAGTGATGGAAAGAAGGTAGACTCAGAAACTTGCAGACCAGTGAGGTTGGCATTAGGACCAGTAAAATTCTAGATTATTTCGCGGGTTGCTTGGGAGCACTCAGGTCCTGTGCAGTTCAGCCAGGAGTAGAAGCAGAAGCCACAAAGATCCAACATTCCACTCAGAAGGCTCTTGGCCTGGTTGGGGGGACAGACAAGGGATGAAGGAGAACAAGCTTCTCCTTCAATGCCAGGTTACAATGTGTTCAGGGTTTAAAAGAAGGAAACACAAAGTTCGTGGGAGCCCAGATGTAGAGATGATTAACTGCTCAGGGTGGAAAGGAGGGATCAGAGAAGGCTTCTCGGAGGAGGTGGCTCAGAGGTGAGGAGAGCAAAAAAGCCTCTGAAAACAGCCTGAGAACATCTCAAGGGCTCTGAAGGCATACAGAGGAAGATGTTAGCTCAGAACAAGGAGGGTGCTTCTGGCAATCCTCGCAAGGGAAAAGGCAGTGAGCCTTCCAAGCCCAGGAGGGACCAGGAGCCCCAGCCAGAGCCATCTGCAGTCAAAGGAAGGGCCACAGCTAGAACTGGGGATGTTGAGTCACTAGGGTTGCTGGGAACTTGGAAAGGATGGAAGCTGATGCCTGCCTGACCCAGAAGCCCCCTTTTCCACTATCTCCAACCTCATCTTGCAGGAAGGACACAGGCCACTCCCAGATTCCACTGGGAGATGCTCTTTCCTGTGGTGGTCACCACTCCTGGCTCCGACACAGGGCCTGATCGTCAGAAGCCCAGCCTGAAAACCAGAGGCACAGATGTCTGCTGTGGCTTTAGCTCCACACCGTGGGAGCCCTGATGACAGCCTATTATTTGGCTTCTAAGAACGTGCTAGTTGTACCCCAACACCCTCTCCCCTTTGTGAGTAACACAATCCCCAATTCTCATCTGGCACTTGGTGTCCCAAAATAGACCAGAGCTCCCCGTCTCTTGTAGCTAAGCGCTCCCTTTCCCCGCCCCATGCCTCTGCCGGCCAACGGACAGGACAAGTGTCCAGTGTTTTTAGAAAGAGCTTGTTCTCCTTCATCCTTTTTTTCTCCCTGCTAGCTGAAATGCAGATGTGATGGCTGCCACTCAAGTAGCAATCGTGGGCTGTAAGGTGGAAGCCATATGTGGAAATAGCACACAAGAACTAACAGACACCCAGCCTCCCCAGTTCCAGGCTTCTAACCTCCCACCTTTGTTACCCTGAGAACTCCGTTCAGACACAGCCAGTGAGTGTTTGTGCTAAGTCTATGCAGCTAAACCTCATCCTTTGCAGTAAAGCTCCCGGGGCTCAACTCTGGAGAGCAACGGAGGAGGAACCCAAGGGCCTCTGGGACATGAAGAGAGGGGATCCTGGAGAAGAGACACGTTTTCCAAAGGGCCCTGATTCCATCACCCTGATGCTAGAACTGGCCAAACCACTGGGACTCAGTTTCCCCGGTCTGCTGGAAGAACTGATGATACACGTGGCAGGGAACGGATGAGAATTTAATACTTGTCAACCCTACATTGTAAATGTGAGTTGTAAAGGCCTCATATCACTGGGGGGATGGGGGAGGAGAAGGAACACTGGGGTCAGAGGTGACACATGCTGATGGTGCATCAGAGTGCTGGGCCTTTGGGAAGCAGTCCATGCACATGGTCTCATTTCAGCTTTGGGGCCCTATAAGATAGCATCTTAGGTTTTCTACATATGGGGAAATAGACCAAGAGATGTCAGCACAGCAGAAACTCACAGTGACCCAGCAGCAGAGCCTACACTCAAACTCGAGCCCTGCCATGTGCATTAGTCACCGGGGCTCAGCTGTTCCTGCTCATGGGGCTTGAGTACTAGAGCCCAGGCATGGAGTTAGCCAAGCGCAATGAGCCACCAGACCAAGCATGGGGAGGACAACAGGGAGGCAGCAGGGACAGTAGGTGGAAGGAGTGAGGCTACGCCAGAGACCTCAGTCATAAGCCCTGAGCTGTATGTTCCTATGCCCCAGGTGGCTCTTAGAGCCACTGTCAGATACCATCACATGGCGGGTTTTGATGGTGACACAGGAGACAGCCTGCCCACCCCCAAGCATGACCTAACTGAGCCACTATTCCACATCTAGACCTGGCTGCTAGGGAGCAGAGAGACCTGCCCTGCAGACTGGGACCACCCTCCCCCACCTCACCTCAAGACCTGCCCACATCCCAGGGCTGGAAGAGCCCACAGTCCTGTCCCACATGCCCTACACACGTACTGTTCTGCCGTCCTGTCTCTCTCACTAGCCAATGAACTCTACCTGAGGACACAGCTTACTTCCCTGTGAGGTCCTAGGGTTTAGGACCCAGCACAGCTCCCCTAACCAGGTCACAAACTGAAATTCCTTTGATCCAGTCCCAGGACACATGAGCTAGGACAAGAACAAGCTCTCAAGACACAGCTGGAGATCTATCTGGAAGGAGTGTGAAGAAATGGCAGCCCTCGGACACCAGCTGGCCACCTGCAGGGTCTACTGTGAAGAGGCCACATTTTCATGCCAGTCAAGATGCAGTTTCTTTCAAAAGAAAGAATCGGTCAGTCCTTCTGTGTCGTGCTCTATCTGGGAGTCGCTGGAAGCCCTGGGGAGCTGTCCAGGTGTGGGGCAGGGGACAGCTCCAGGATCCAACTGCCTCCACCACACCCATTTCAGCTGAGGAGGCCACGAGAAGGGGCGGGCGCTTAAGGGCAGAGCAGGCTCCACTCATTCACCCTGCCCCACGCACCTGCTTTCCAGAGCAGCAGGTGGACTCTGGATTCTAGCAAGGGACACACTGGTCCTCAGCCCTGGTTAGAGAATCCAGCAGAATACAAGGAGAACTGCACCTTACTGTACCCACTGGGAAAACTGCTGGCATCTGAGGAGAGACTCATGACCCCTGACCATCTCCCCTACCCCAGAAATCTGCTTTGGTGCGTGACGTCGAGGCCAGGGACAAACAGACCACAAGCAGGCAACCTGATGAGTTTCAAAAATCTGATGAGTGTCAGGAGGTGTATGCATTTGGGAAGATGCCCCAAACCTGGCTCTGAAGGCTCCCCAGGGAGGCCAGCTCCCAACTGCCTGCTCTGGCTGGGGCTCAAGCCCCAGGCAAGGGCAGTCCCAGACCAGAGAGAGCCTGGCTTCCCAACCCAGAGTTGTGCAATCTTCACCTTGGTGCAGGTTGGGTGCAGGGACAGCCAAGCTGAGATAGGGCAGGTCCTCACAGCCCCAGCTGGGGCACCACTTGGTTCTTGGTCTCACTCCCCGCTATGCCGGGCTTTGCCTGTCAGTCGGCGGCGTTGGGTCTTGCTGGTGCGAGTGGCCCTCGGAGGCTTCTTGGTGGAGTCCTGGGCCCATCGGGGATGTTTTCTCTTGGCCTTTTTGCAGCTGTGTGCATGCAGTGACGCTGTGAGGGAGGAGATCCTGTGGGAGGGTGGAAGGCTTCAGTTTACCCTTAGGAATAGGCAGCAGGTGGAAGGCTGGGTTGTGGGTTACTACGGTCACCAGCTCATGGAGGAGAGGTCAGGGTAGGTTGAGAATGCTAGGAACCCAAAATTCATCCCAGAGTTGCCTGCTCTGCCTCGAGTACCAGCCAGCAACTCACAGGGAGAAAGGCCCTCAACTCAGGCTCTGAGCTCAGACCATCTCAGGTGTGGGGAGGGTTCAGGCAATAAGGAAAAGCCAAGGACCACTCGACAGTGTACACAGAGGGCTGCTCTGGGCACTACCTCTCATGGGCCAGTGGGAGGAGGCCCACAGGCCTGGTCACTCATACCAGCTATGAGGAGTGGGACCACAGGAGACGACAAGCCAGGGCTCACCGCTGAGAGAGCAGGGGGTCTTTGGACTTCCTGGGTAAGGCTCTGGTTGGCTTCTCCATGGATGATGCCTCCTCTTCGGACCCATCCCTGGCCGCTTGCTAAAAAAGCACAGGACAAGGACTATTACGGGGAGCAGCAGATGGGGAGGCCTGGGACAGGCTCAGAGAAGGCCTTGGGCAAAAGAGTGCTACATTCACGTAAAGCAAGACCGACACACACAGGGAGAGCTGTGTTTTAAAGCCTTCCCCTGCCTCTAGTTGTTTTCAGCAGATACTCATTCACAGCACATTCACAGATGAAAACACTAGCTTGGAGATGAGACTTGTCTTTGCATGAGCCCTTGAAGAATGGGCACAAAACGCAAGGCGAATGAGGTCAGGAAGAATGTAAGCCAGTGTGGCTTCAGGACTTCAGGACACTGTGATCCATGAGACAAAGTGTTTTACGTTGTAACTGTGCACACACATATACACAAATTCTTACACAAACTTGCCAGATACAACTCCAGCTGAAACAGGCTTCACAAAACAACTCTTAATGTGAAAACTTCTGATGTTTTCAATTCTATGATTTTTTTAATGCTGGCTGTAACCTATTGATACTTACACCCCACAGGTTGAAAACTCCGTCAGCACACACAGATATGCCAGCTTTGCTTCTTATTGCACAAAGGGCACAGTCACGATAACAGCTGCCTTTTTTGGCCGCTCATACCAGGGCTGGGTCTGAAGCCACGTGACTGACAGGGACTTACCAGTTTTCTCCTCGCAGCAATCCCATAAGGCAGTGCTACTCTCAGAAACCCCCCGTTCATTGATGAAGAAACGGAAGCAGGCAAGGCGAAGAAACCTGTCCAATATCCTGGCTGCTCAGTGGTGGGCCTGCCCTCTGTAGCTTGTGGAGCCAGGGACTGAAGGGCCCAGAAGGGAAAAGAGCCCTGGCACCGCGATACCCATGACGTGGGTCAGAACTAAGCAACCCCCTCTGCCCCTACTCCACTTCTTCCCCAGGGCTGGACTGGGACCCACCTCGGGTGGGGGCAGCCCAAGTAGCCGGGCTCCCGAGAGGTCCAGGTCGCTGATGGTGGTCACAGTGACTGTGTGGTTGGGGTGGTCGTACTGCACTGACTCCGTCTTTGCCGTCACCAGCCGTTCCAGCTCATCTGCCTCCTCTGTACAGGTGGACACAGCCCAGGCCTCAGCCAGGGGAACAAACAACCAGGCTCCAGCTTCCCTCCCAGCCCTGGAGTATGACAGTCCCCTCTGCTCTAGGGGCGAGTGTCCACAAGGTCACTGGCTCAACAGCCTGGCCTGCAGGTGAGCATTGTGAATGACCCACTTTTCCTTTATGCTCTATGGGCCCAACTTCGACAAGCCCTGCGTGATACCAGGAGCTGCTGCTACCCCTCCCTTCTACAAACCCCCCA